GCAACAGATGGTACGTTAGAAACACCGGCTGCTTCGGTCCCCACTGGTTTCTCCCTTCGGTGGGAACCTTGGCTTCTGACAGCAGCAGGCGACACCTGGGAAGAAAGGAGACCTTGAAGGGGGAAGGGGCCGAGAGTCATCTTAAACCCTCCTCTGAAGCCCTGCTCAGAACGTGGGCGCGGGGGCAGCTCCTGGGAAGGCAGGCTCCTTTGTAAGGCAACACAAGCATGGCAGAGTCGCAGGGGGAGCGCTGCGCACCAGAGAAAGGAAGGAGCCACTGGCAGCCGCGTGCGACAGGGACAAATCCCGGAACAACATGAGCAAACAAAGCAAGTCACAGGACAGGGTGTCATCTTTAGGAAGCGGAAACCGAACTATAGCCTGCGCATGGTACACAGCACACTCATGTTACAAAGCATGGCCCAAAGTGAGTTTGGTGGGTGATAAAACTACTTTTTTTTAAAAAGCGGGGGCTTAACAAAAACACAAAGATGCTGAAGCTGGTTTGGCTCAGTGGATAGAGCATCGATCTGCGGACCAAAGGGTCCCAGGTTCGATTCTGGTCAAGGGCATGTACCTTGGTTGCGGTCACATCCCCAGTAGGGGTGTGCAGGGGGCAGCTGATCGATGATTCTCTCTCATCGATGTTTCTAACTCTCTATCCCTCTCCCTTCCTCTCTGTAAAAAAAATCAATACAAATATATTAAAAACAAACAAACAAACAAAAAAACACAATGATCAAGCTGGTGGTTCACGCTGGGATAGCCTGTCAGTTCCCTGGTGTTCATGTTATGACTTTATCATAGAGGTGCCTCTTGATGATACGTTTTCTCATGTATCAAATATTTCATCATTAAAACCACCAAAGGCGCTGCAGCTATCAATCATTCCCCAAGCCCCAGGCCTGCACGTTAGGGCCTGGCTTCCACGTTCCCCATGGGCAATGCTGCCACGCCTGCCACAGGGCCAGCTGCTCAGGGCTCAGGCAGCCCGATGACTGGGCTGCTGCTCGGCGTGGTGAGGTCAAAGGGTCAAAGGTTAGGAGTGACTGATGTGTCAGCCACAGACCCCTGTCCTTCCCCGCTCCCCCCAATCCTGACCCAAGTGCTTCAGCGAGCTGATTCCCACCTCTCCGTGGGCCTGTCCACTGGGGTGCAAGTGCCTGGAGTCCACCTGTCCAACCCAGCCCCGCCCACCTACTTCCTTCTGCTCATCCACCCGGCCCACAAGTATTTCCTGAGCACCTACTACCAGCCGGGTACCGTTCTTAGTCTGGGGTGCAGCTGTGAACAAAACCTGGTGCTTACGTTCTAGTGAGGGGAGGCAGGAAAGAAATGCTAAGGCAACAACTATAAGTCAGGTGGCAAGAAGAAAACCACAGCAGGGTGAGAGGTGAGGGAGCAAAGAGTTTGTATAGCTAGCTGGTCAGGGAGGGCCTCTCTGAGGAGGTGACCTTGGGCAGAGACCTCATGGAAGGGAGGGAGGGAGGGGGGATGGGGTGGGGGAGGAGAGGTAATGTCGGGAAGAGTCTTCCAGGCTGAGGGAGGGGAGGGTGGCACCAGGGCAGAGACCTGGCCCTTCCTTTCACTTGTGTCTGCTTCCCCTGAGCTCCCCCCACCCCACCCGGCCAGTTCTCACTCCTCCCCCTCCCTCGGTCCCCCTCTTCCTCTGCTCTAGTTGTGCAGGGGACCTAGGCTTTTGGAAAAGAGGAACAAGAGGTTTCCAGACCACAGCGGCACCCCCACCCCCGTTTGCGCTGGCCTTTGCTCTGAGGCTCTGCCTGGCTCCCAGCTTTTCTTAAGAAATTAGCCTGAAGCCATCTTCTAGGCTGGATTCAGCTACAGACTGTGATTTCTCACATTCTTGTCAAACCTGTAATCCCAATTAAGCCAAAAGAAGATGTTGGCTTAATGACTATCATTCGCACCTGATGACTTCGCACGCAGGAATCTCCCTCAGTGCCACCTACAGGTGAGCTCGCCTGGAAAACAAGGTGGGGATCTTCTCCTCATGCCATGCGTTGCCCCTGTGGGTGTTGTGGTGACAGCTGCCGGAGCAGCCTGGGCAGCGGGCGAGGATCAGACCTCGCAGTGTGGGAAGGAGCCCGAGACCGAGAGGTCCGCTCTCCGGCTCCACGCAGGGAAAGCTCAGACAGTTCTTTGCCTCCGTGGTCAGGCTGACAGTGCTTGTCAGCCTTTGCTCTCTGTACCCCAGCAACCTCTGTGCGCAAGCAAACGGCCCAGAGTCCTCTGGTGGGAAGAGCCTTTGGTGGCCGCAGTGAAGGTGGAAGCCTCGCAGGCAGTCGCTGTTGTATGTTTATTATTGTGCTGAACCCTCAAGGAAACCAACTGAAGGCTGATTCTAGACCTTGGAGATCTCCAGCTTCATTCATTCATTCATTCATTCATTCATTACTCTCTTACTCAAGCTCCTGCACTGGGTGGAAAGGGTACAGAGACATCGAATGACAGCTCAGCTCACATGTATTGCACTCTTAAGGCAAACCAACACCATTTTAAAAATATATATATTTTATTGATATTTTACAGAGAGGAAAGGAGAGAGATAGAGAGCTAGGAACGTCGATGAGAGAGAAACATCGACCAGCTGCCTCTTGCACACCCCCTACCGGGGATGTGCCTGCAACCAATGTACATGCCTTTGCCCAGAATCGAACCTGGGACCTCTCAGTCCGCAAACTGAGCCAAACCGGTTTTGGCAAAACCAACACCATTTCGTTGCCTTTCCTGTTTATGCTCATTTAATTCTCAGCCAGCTCTGCGGGGTAGGCATCACAGCTGAGGTGCTGTAGGTTTGGAAGGCATGGGGAGGTTAAATACCACTGCCCAAGCCGAGTCAGGGTTCGAGCTCCACTTTGCTCTTGTGGAACCACAAGCCTTGTCCTAGAACTTACCAGCTGGCCGGGCAGAGAGACACGAACACTGTACACAACAGCGCAGCAGCTGAGGCCGGATAAGCATTACCTGCTATTACGGCTGCAGAGGGCCCCTTGGGAATGCACATGGATGACCTTTAAATTAACATCAGCTGAGTCCGAGGTGATTGGCATGGCAACAGCCCCCAGAAACAGCCTCCCAAAATGTGGGAGGCCGTTATCAGTACTGATTTCTTATCTTTATCCCTGTGCTCAGAACGAGGAACGGATAGGACCTTGACTTACCCAGGTCTTGATATGCTAAATCCCAGGAATGAGGGAATGAATAGGACCTGGGCACACCCAAAAGTTCTTTGACCTTAACCTCCCCCACCCCGCTCTGGAAATCAATAAATGTGCTGTGTTGTCTGTGGTGGGTGGTTGACTGTCCCTCCATCAGACTGGCAGCCCCCCACCTGGATCCCAGCTTGAATCTATTTCTGTGTCTTGGTCTCTCTCTTTTTTTCTTTAATTTTTCAATCCCCAGCTCCTCCGCTCAGGAACCTGTCGTTTTCCGTGCGGGTCGCTGAGTCCGAGGTGACTGGCATGGCAACAGCCCCCAGAAACAGCCCCCCCAACAACGGCGAAGTTTGCTACGAGAAAGTCCTATCCCAGAGGAGACTCCACTGCGGTGGGATCACCCGGGCTCTGTCAGATGTGGAGCAAGGCTTCGCGGTGACCTTTGGGCTGGGTCTCAAAGAACGAACAGGTGCTTCCCTCCTGACCAGAGGGGAGAGAACATTCCAGGGCAACCTCTGGAGAGACAGACCACTGGGCTAGAGAGGACAAGATAGGGGTCTGGGGGGAGGAGAAATTCCTCCAGTGGAGATTCCTTCTCCTCCCCTCCCTGACCCCCCATGGGTGGAACCAAAGGGACCAGGGCACCAAAGCGCCCCCTGTTGAAACTTTCACATTACCCTCCCACCCCCCAACCCCGGGCTGTCTACAGCATCTGAGGCCCATCGGTTCCACCTTCATCACCTTGTTGGCCTTGGAGAGGGGGGTGCCTGAAGGTTATGCTGGTCCCAGCAAAAGGCACCTCCTGGTGTTCCCTCATCACCTCTCTGTGTCTGCATTTCCGCTTCCTCCCTGGTAAATGGGGGAGGGCGGGGAGCCTCCACATCTGTTCTTTCCACCTCCAGCCCAGGCTGCTGCAGGGCGGAGAGGCGACCCTGCATGGAGAGCTCCTGGGAGGCGAGGCCAGGAAGGGAAGCTGCTGCTGGTGGCTGGGAGCTTCCTCATACCTGGAGTTCCATCCTCAGGGGGATCTGAACTCCTTCGAGGCAGGAATGCTGTCTGTTTGGTTCTCCACATCACCCCAAGCACCTAAAACAGTGCCTGGCACACGGCAGGTGATCACCACATAGCTATGGAATAGCTGAAAGCAGGCCCAGCGGGGCACCTGCCCCCAGTCCTAGGTCTCCTTCCCCCAGCCCTGGGTCTCCTGCCCCCAGCCCTGGGTCTCGGGGGACAAGAGGAGGGAACCCCACTGGTGACCGCATCCTATCCAGAGCCAAGGCAGCTGGCTCCCGGCTCAGTTCACCTCCACAGACAGCCACGGGGCCGCTCCCCGGGCAGGCGCTGCGTCTGCCAGGCCTGGATGCCCTGCCCACCTGCTGCTGGGTGGCTGCCAAGGTGCCCGGGCAGAGGGGGCCTCCTTAGGGCATCTGCCACCCAGGCCCAGCCGGAGCTGCTGGACACCCGAGCCAGCAGGACGAGCTCAGGCAGGCGGGTCCCCACGCCTGCCCCATCCCGGCCCCAAAGCCCCCAGCCGAGCCGGCCTGCGCGGTGACCTTTTCCCGGGGTCGCTGGCCTCTCCAGGCCCCTCCTGCGCCCCGGCCGGCGCGGCTGCGGTTCCGGCCCTGGCCGCCAGGGGCCGCTCCTCCCGCCGCCGCGCCTCCCCGCCCCTCGCCGGGCCGGCGCTCCCGTTACGCCGGAGCCGGAGCCGGAGCCCGAGCCCAGCCCGCGGCGGCGGCGGCGGCGGCGGCGGGAGCGGCGAGGGGCGCCGGCGGAGGCGGCGGCGGCGGGGCCTGCGGGGCCTGCGCGGGCGGGCGGGCGCGCGCCATGGCCTCCAAGAAGGCGGGCTCGCGGCTGGAGACGGAGATCGAACGCTGCCGCTCCGAGTGCCAGTGGGAGCGGATCCCCGAGCTCGTCAAGCAGCTGTCCGCCAAGCTCATCGCCAACGGTAGGCGCCGGGCTGGGGCCGGGCGGCGGGAGCGGGAGCGGGGCCTGCGGTGGCGGCGGCGGCGGGGCGGCCCGGGCGCAGCGGGGCGGGCGGGGCGCAGCGGGGCCGCCGGGCGCGGGAGGGGAGGGGAGGGGAGGGGGCCGGGGCCTGGGCGGCCGGGGTCCCCGGGAGTCAGTTCCGCGTGGGGAGTCGGGCCGGCCAGGGCTCCTGTGCAGTCGGTGGGTGGAGGGGTCTCAGGAGCCGGGTGCTGACCAGGGGGTCATGGGGTGATAGGGAAGGCTGCTGCTCCCCAGGACATGGGTGTGTGTGTGTGTGTGCCTGGGGCTCCAGGCTGTGTGCATGGGGTCCTCAGGCTGTCAGGCCCCGTGTGTATAGGGGTGCTGAACAGAGACCCCCGGGGGATAACAGTTTGTAAACACAAGGGGGAAGAGGGCTGCAGGGGGGAGATAGGGCCTGGGCTCAGTGTGGGGGGCGCTGGAGGCAGGCGGAGATGATGGTCCTGGGGCTGAGTAGGAGGTGCAAGCTGTGGACCTAGGGAGCCAGGTTTAGGGATCCAGACAGGGGAAATAGAGGCAGGGAGTCAGGGGGGGACAGCGCTGGAGAGAGAGGTGGGAATGTGGTTGAAGAATGCTGGCGTATGGGGTTGGCTGGGTGAGGGCCTTGGAGCCTAGGGGAGCGGGGTCTGCTGGGGGGTCACTGAGCAGGAACCTGGTGCCTGGAGTTCGCCCGCGACCCCGCTGCCTGAACTGGTGCTGGTCCCCAACGAAATCCAAATCGCATCGGAAAAGCCCGTGTCCCAGCGTCGCCGCCCCGCTTGGTCTTATTTGTTTTGGAAGCAAGTGCTGTCGGTATCTGCTTGTCTGTTGGCACCTGCCAAAACCACAGGCCCCGGCGGACCGGTGAGAGGGCAGAGGTTTTGTCCCGTCTCACCTCCGGCTTCCTGAGGGCCGGGTGACAGACGCCTGTGGCCCGCACACAGGCGAGAAGGAAGGAATGCATGAGGGACAGCGCTGCACAGAAGGACAGCCACGATGTTTCCGACCTTCTCACCTCAAAGGCCCCGGGCTCGGAGAGCGATGTCACATGTCCTCTTCAGGAATGGCTCACGTGTGTGCCTTTCATGGTCTTCTTGCCTCGAAATAAGGACCTGACTGTGTGTACTCTCGGCCGCGGTAGCCCCTCCCCACCATGCTTAGGGTAGGTTTCTTCCTGGGCAAATGCAGGTGTCAGGACCGAGGCAGGGACATGGAGGAGGCCCAGCCCTGCCTGGGCTCAGCCTGCTGGGAACGGAAGGATCGATGCTTTGCGGGGAAGCCAGCGTCGGAGGGGAGGGCGTTCCGTCCCGTGGGCGCCCCCGGCAGCGGGACCCTGTCCTTCCTGGGAGGCCCTCGGGCTTGTCCTTTCGCCTCTCCTCTTCTTACCTGCAGCGTTTTCTCATTTCTTCTTGGAGTTGGGTTTGCTTTGTGGGCAGGGAATACCTTGAGGGTGTTGGGTGACCACGCTAGGATTAAACGGGTTCATTGGTGAGGCCCCTGGGTTTTTTTTTGTTTTTGTTTGTTTGTTTGTTTTTTCCATGAGAGCCACTTGCTTCCTGCTTTATTTGCTCCTTTATTCAACCAGCATATGCGGGCCCACCACTGGCCAAGCCCCTAAGCTCGTGAGCTTACCCTCCTTTGAGGAGTCGGACAATAAATACGGAAATTGATAAGTAGGGTGCCTTCAGATAGTTTGCGATTTAAAGCAAACAGAGGCGTTAACGCAGCTCCAACCACAGTGGTCTCTGGAATGAGGGGGAATGGGCTTCCCACCCACAGTGGATAGAGCGTTAGCCTGTGGACTGAAGGGTCCCAAGTTCGATTCCGGTCAAGGGCATGTACCTTGGTTGTGGGCACATCCCCAGTAGGGGGTGTGCAGGAGGCAGCTGGTTTATGTTTCTCTTTCATCGACGTTTCTAGCTCTCTATCCCTCTCTCCTCCTCTCTATAAAAAATCAATAATATATATATATATTTTAAAAAGAAGTGGGCTTCCGGTGCCATGGGCCTATCTGTCCTTCACGGCCCTCTGGACTCGTCTCCCTTCCCAGGGCCTTGTCCTGGGGCCTGCGCCACAGTCATTAATGGAAGTGAGTTGTGAGGGGCATTGTGGTCCATGGGTCTGAGTGCAAGGCTGGTTTTGGGAAACTCACGAGAGAGATTCCTGCCCCGGGACCCACATGGTGAGCAGCAGCCATGGATGGCAGAAGGTCACCAGACCTGAAAAGGTCTAAGAGATTGCTCAGGAAGATTTAAAAAGAGAAAAGCAAAGAAAAAGATGAAATAGAAACAGAATTATTGTGGCCACTCCTTTGGGGTTCAGAGAAATGTTTGAAGGAAGTTCTTTCCTTCCTTGGGCTGATAGGGGCTCCCTTGAACCATTGGTGGGCCTTCCTCCTGGTCTTGGGGGCATCAGCCCCTCCTTAGATCCTTTGGACCTCAAGTTCTGGGCGGATTTGAGAAAATCCATCTATTGCTTAGAATAAGGAAAGTGAGTTAATGCCGTGTTTATAATATTAAGATAGTTACTCTGAGCCTGAGTATCCTCATCTTAGAATGGGGATGAAAAGCCTACCTTGGGTCCGACTGGTGTGGCTCAGTGGTTGAGCGTTGACCCATGAACCAGGAGGTCACAGTTTGATTCCCTGTCAGGAATCAGGTCCCATGCCCAGGCTTCAGGTTTCGGGTTCGATCCCCAGTTAGGGAGTGTTCAGGAGGCAGCGCATCGATGATTCTCTCTCATCGTTGATGTTTCTGTCTTTCTCTCCCCCTCCCTTCCTCTCTCTGAAATCAATAAAAAAATAGATGTAAAAAGAGAGGGCAGTTAATGGTGGGCTGGCCGCAGGGTCTCCTTTGGAAACAAGGATGAGGTTTCACTGAGAGTCCGGGGTGAGACTGTGGCTCTGTGGTTTAGAATGACTTCTTTGGACATCCCGGGAATAGCAGTCCCCTGCCCTCAGACACCAGGACCCCCGTGACCCTCCGTCCTGACCTTCCTGGGGCAGTCACCCCGCTTTCAGATCTCTGTCCTGTTGTAGGACATGCTTTTGTGGCAGACCACACAGCCTGATTTTTAAATTCAAAACGCTCACTAATTCGACAGTAACAACGGATGGCTCTCAGTTGGGCATTGGAGCTCATGGTCACTGCAGTCAGGACGGAAGGGCTGTGACCTTGTGGCCTCACTCAGAGGGGTCAGGCCTGCTCAACGTTCCCCCCAGCCTTCTGTTTGGAGGCATGTCAGGCTCCGAATGGGGAGGGAGGAGGATTTCTGACATTCCTTCCCTCGATCAGCCCACCGTTCCCACACGTCCTCCCTTCCCCGTGGCCGGGAGGGCCTCCCGGGTCCTCTCACTCACCTGGTTATTGTCTTCCCTCCGGGGCTGGTGCTGGAGGCCAGAAGCCTGCCCGCCTGTCAGGGTCTGGTTCCGATCCTCCCCGGCTGTCCTTCCTTCACAGGAAAGGTTGTTTGCCTCAAAGAAGACAATCCTACATTGTCAGAACCAGATGGGACCTGAGAGACCACATTGTATAGCCATTTTCTTTATTTTCTTTACATATACATATACATACATATATATATATATATATATATATATATATATATATATATGTATTTTTTTTAACCTAAGTCATTTTCTTTTCTTTTTTTTAAAATAAATTTTATTGAGTTTTTACAGAGAGGAGGAAAGAGGGATAGAGAGCTATAAACGTTGATGAGAGAGAAACATTGACTAGCTGCCTCTTGCACACCCCCTACCGGGGATGTGCCCACAACCAATGTACATGCCCTTGGCCGAAATCGAACCTGGGACCTTTCAGTCCGCAGACCGACACTCTACCACTGAGCCAAACCGGTTTCAGCCATATATATATATATATATATATTTTTTTTTTTTTAAATTGATTTTAGAGAGAGAAGAAGGGATGGGGGAGCGTGAGAATGAAAACATCGACGTGAGAAAGAAAAATCGATTGGCTGCCTCCTGGTGATCGAACTGGCAGTTCTTTGGCGCATGGATGATGCTCAGCCCATTGAGCCACGCCGTCCAGGGCTGTATAGCAGTTTTCAAACTGTGCTGTGGCGGAACCCCACCGGAACATGCTTTTGGGTCCTGCTGGCTGGTGGGCAGGTCTCACTCCCTGGAGCAGTGACACTTCTCTGGAAAGTTTCCCTTGAAGGGACAACTCATATGCTTAAAAAACAAAATCCACGGATGTAGTTCATCCTCCCCATCTGACAGATGAAAAAACAGGCCCCAAGAGGGAGGTGTCTTCCTGTAAGCCACCAGCCAGCGAGGTCTGGCCCCAGGGTTCAGTTGTGTCAGCGTGAAGGGTGGTTCTGTGGTTTCCTAACCAAGAGAGTAACTTCACTGGAGAAACCCTATAGGTACTGTGTTGTCACACTCCTCCCCACCCCAAATCCCTTTTCTGAAACCCTTGGGGCCACCTATGTTTCAGAATCCAGAAATTTTCAGCCCTGGCTGGTGTGGCTCAGTGGGTTGGGCATCATCCCGTGTGCTTATAGATCGCCAGTTCGATTCCCGATGAGGGGACATGCTTGGGTTACCGCTTAATCCCCGGTTGGGGGCATGCAGTAGGTAGCTGATCGGTGTTTCACTCTCACATTGATATTTCTCTCTCTTTCTGCCTTCTTCTCGCTCTAAAAATTCAATTAACATTATTTTTTTTAAAAGAATGCAGAAATCTTCAGAATAATGGTACATATTCTGGACATTATGTGACACTCCCAGTGGGGTCCGGGGCAGCCCTTCCTTATAAAACACATCAGTATTTCTGTATCAAAACATAGGATCGGTCCTTGCAAAAGGGACACATAGCCTATAAATAGCAGCATGTTGATTCAGTTGAGGTTTTTCTGCCCAGTAAGTTAACAGCTTTTGGTTTTTAGAGAATTCTAGATTTCATAAATTATGGATAAGGATTGTGAACCTGTAATAATAGT